TTTCCATGCACATTTCAGGACCAGCTAAATTTCTACAGAAAACCTTCTAGGATTTTGGCAGGGATTGCATTGAATCAGTAGATCATTTTGGGAAGTAGTGCCATCATTGGTTGAATTACATCCCCAGAAAAGATAGTCCAAGTTCTATCCAGGGAAAAATTCTTCCCTCAAGCATTCAGATTGAGTGTGGCTTTGCTGACAGCTTTATTTTAGACTTCTAGCTCCCAGAACTGAGAGAAAATAAATTCCGTTTGTTTCAAGCCATGCAGTTTGTGGTAGTTTGTTATGGCAGCCTTAAGAAACTACTACATGGTCTTATCAATACTAAGTCTTCTAATCCATGAACATGAACTCTGCATTTATTCATATCATCTTTCATTTTTCTCAGCAATTTTTTTCCATGTACAAATCCTTCATTTCTTTTATATTTATTCTAAATATTTTCTTCTATTTGATGGTGTTATGAATGGAATTGTCTTCTTAATTTCATTTGCAGTTTGCTTATTGCTAGCATATTAAAATGTTAATTCACTTTTATATTTTTTTGTGTATTTAGACTTGCTAAATTTATTCCAGTAATTGTCGTCTGGATTCCTTAGTATTTTCTATGTTAGGGTCATGTCGTCTCCAAAAACAGTTTAACTTCTTCCTTTCCAATGTGAAGTGTTTTTTGGCTTTTTGCACTGGCTGGAAGCTCCAATACAGTGATAAATAGAATGGATATCTTTGCCTTGTTCCCAGTCTTAGAGTAAAAGCTTCAGTTTTAACCCTTAATTATGATGTTAATTGTAGGTTTTTCACAGATACCCTTTATCATTTCAGAGATGTTCTTTTTTATTCTTAGTCTGTTGAGAGTTTTTATTATGATTAAGCTTTGGATATTGTCAAATTTCTTTCTGCACCTTTCAGATAATCTTATGTTTTTGGCTTTGTGTATTAACATGAGGTCTTAGCTCAGCCTACCATAACAAAATGCCACAGACTGGGTGGCTTAAAAAACAAAAAAATTATTTTCTCATGGTTCTGGAGTCTGGGAGGACTAAGAATAAGGTGCTGATTGATTTGCTCGTTATGACTCTCTTCCTGGCTCATAGATGGCCACCTTCTCCCTGTGTCCTCACATGGCAGAGAGAGCTCTCTGACATCTCTTCTTATCCCATTAGACCAGGTCTTCTTATGAACTAATTACCTCCCGAAAGCCCCATCTGCAAATATCATCACACCAGGGGTTAGAGTTTCAACATACGAATTTGAGGGGGACAAACTTTTAGTTCATAACATATGATGTGTTATATTAAATGATCTTTGGGTGTTAGTCTGATTTATTTGTGTGTGGTCTGAGAAGTACACTCATACTTAAGGCCTGGCTTATATTTTGTGTTAGTTGTCTCTCATCTCGTTGCATGAATTCGTGCTCCATCAGCCAAGAATGTATAGGTGGTTTGGGTCCACTCCAGTCTTGCTATATACAGCACAACCTGTAGTCAACCCAAGACATGAAGAGCTTAACATGCCCCTTTGTCTGTCTTGCCTCAGGATTTCCCTAATAAATCCTCAACTGTTCTGTTAGTTGGCTACTCGCCCCACAGAGGCCTACAACCACTGACTCCCCACTTCACTTGCTACTGCATTTAGCACTTTAGCTGACAGCTCTTTGATTCCAGTTAGACTTTTCCATCAACAACAGCAAAGCTGCTGTTTTTCACTTCCTGTCTATCCTGGTTAAACTACAACTGTGATAGAACTAGAAGGAGTGAAATAGCAAATATGCCACAAACTCACATAGTTCTTCCCTGAGATCATTTTCATGGATTAATTAATTCCTCTCAGCATTTGTATGCCCATAGTCCATTGAGAGCCCTGAAATGGTTGTCTGGCAATTTTGTCTAGCTTTTAGTTACTTTTAGAGGAGAGGATTTGAAGACCATGTGCCTCCAATCATGTCAGAAGTGAATCTCTAACTTCACTATCTATTATAAATAGAGATATATAGTATTCATGGGAGTTACTCAGTAAATGGCAGTTTACCATCCTCCAGGCTCTTAATGATATTTGGCAAAAGAGAATTTGGAGTTAGTTATTGTTGGAAAAATAAGCAAAGACTTTGACCTACTTTTAAAACCCCACTGGAACTATAAATTCTTAATTCTTCGTAGCTTTGAGTTTCAAAGAATGTGAAAGTAGAGTATATGTTATTCCTAAATTTGAGATTCAGGACCACCTCTGATATAATGTACAACACATTGGATTGCTTCTTTCATCATATATGTAAATGTGTTCATTGACTTTCTACAGAGTAGCGGGGACCGGGCATGTCTTCAGAAAACAGAGACTAGGGGCATGTGGCTGATGTGTAGATAGAGTTCCAACTCTTTATCTTCATCTCTTATGTAAAGAGATGGCATAAAAGAACAAGTTAACTTATATTTTTAAACTTCAGTAAAATTGGGGCACCTGGGTGGCTCAGTCGGTTAAACATCTGACTTTGGCTCAGATCATGATCTCATGGTCCATGAGTTCAAGCCCTGCACCGGGCTCTGTGCTGACAGCTCAGAGCCTGGAGCCTGTTTCATATTCTGTGTCTTCCTGTCTCTTTGACCCTCCCCTGTTCACTCTGTGTCTCTCTCTGTCCCAAAAATAAGTAAACGTTAAAAAAAAACTTTTTTTAAGTAAAATAGTTCATATCTTCTAAATGTAAGTGCCAGAGTCCCCACTCTTAGCAGTCTTCTTTTTCTTTATTACAATTAGTAATTGTGGTCAAAGCATGGTATACAGCTGGTTGATAGGCTATGTTTTGGCCATTAGTGCTAATTGCTAATTTATTGTTCAGTGATAAACTCAATTAATTGAGTTCTCTCAGGGAAAGTTCCTTTATAGATGTTACTCAGAAAATGAACAAGGAGTAGGGAAATGGCATCATTCAGGTCCTCTTCCCATGACCAAGAGCTGCTTTTGTGCATCCTTACACCACAACAGGTCAATGCTCCGATCCTTAGCAAAGTAGGGAGATCCACAGGGGTTTGATGTGTACCATTTTACTGCATACACTTCTTTCCTCTGCCACTGGTAACTTTCACCTTATTCAGGTGCACAAAAAAAAAAAAAAAAAAAAAAAATCTGATGTTAACAATTATTACTAAGTAACAGATTTATATAGTGAGAGGTATTTCTTTTTCAAGTATTTATATTTTAGACCACTTTTCTCTGTGGAATAAAAATTCTTTTCCTCGGTAAAGGAATTCAGGCCTTTCCAGGCAGGTGAAAAATTATCAGAAAAAGGGCAGCTCTTTGCAGTCTTATTAGTGATGTATTGCCTAAGCATTCCTAGGAAAGTTCAGCAAATGTTTACTGTGTCCCTGGCATCATACTAGGTGGTAGGAACACAGAATAAACAAGACATGATCATCACTGCCCAGATAGTTTAAGTTATTTAATCATAATTATAATAAACACTCTGAAGACATATATAAGGTACTACAAATGGTCCCTGACTTACAAAAAAGCAATTGGCATTCAGTGGAGATTCATATTTTGAGGGGCACCTGGGTGGCTCAGTCGGTTAAGCATCCAACTCTTGGTTTCAGCTCTGGTCATGATCTTGCAGTTTGTGAGTTCAGGCCCCACATCAGGCTCTACACTGACAGTGTGGAAGCTGCTTGGGATTCTCTCTCTCTCTCCCCCTCTCTCTGCCCTTCCCTGCCTCTCTCTTCCTCTCTCTCTCTCTCAAAATAAATAAATAAACTTTAAAAATTTTAAAGATTCAGATTTTGAACTTTTTCTTTTCCCAGGTTAGTGATGTGCAGTAGGATACTGGTGATGCTGGGCAATGGCATTGAGCCACAGCTCCCAGTCAGGTGCTCATGAGGGTAAACAACCAGTACACTTATATACACTTACTTGTTGGGTTGTATCCATACAACCATTCTGGTTTTTGCCTTCAGTTCAGTATTCAATAAATTACATGAGATATTCAGCACTTTATTATGTTAAGTAGGCTTCACATCCAGCATGGAGCCCACTGCAGGGGCCTGAACTCACGACTCCGAAATCAAGACCTGAGCCAAGATCAAGAGTCAGACACCCAACCGACTGAGCCACCCAGGCACCCCAGCACTTTATTATTAAGTAGGCTTTGTGTAAAATGATTAAGTGTTCTGAGCATGTTTAAGATAGGGTAGGCATGGGGTGTGTAACTGGCTCAGTCAGTAGAGCATGGGATCTTGATCTTGGGGTCCTGAGTTCAAGCTTCATGTTGGGTGTAGAGATAACTTAAAAAAAAAAAAGGGGGTATAGCCAATCTATGATGTTCAGTAGGTTAGGTGAATGTATTAAATGCATTTTCAACTTACAGTCTTTTCAACTTAAAATGGCTTTATTTGGATGTAACCCCATTAAGTTGTGGAAGATTTATGTAGAATATACAATAGAAAGAGCTCACCTGGTCTTTAGACATCAGAGACTTACCTTCCTTGAGTTCAACCCATCTTTTCTCTCCTTTCCAGCACAGTTTATGACTTTTAACATATTTGGGGGTATTTTTATTTTTTGGTAACTTTTTAAATACTTTTTTAAAAATAATTTGTTTTAAAAAAACTTAAAATTTGAAGAAAGTAAAGGAGATCCAGTGTACCCCTTGCTCAGGTTCACTAATCAGTATCCTTTGAACTTTCTAAAGAAAGTTCCTCAGCCTTTCTTTATCTTGACCCTGACATTTTTGAAGAACACAGGCCAGTTATTTAGTAGCATTTCCCTCAGTTTAGGTTTTTATGACAATTCCTTGTTAGCATTCAGGTAATGCATTTTTGACAGATTCTTTTTATGTACACATTTGAACTATAAAAAAGATATAGACATTAGGATTTATTTAGATATAATTCATGTTTTCTCCAACTAGGAACAATATTGGGGACACAACTGACATGGGGTTAACTTTTCTTAAACTAGTTTTGAAAGCTCTTTACAACCTCAGTGATTTATATTCTTCATTTTTTGTTTTAAAGACAGATGTGCATTATTCAATACTGTCACTTCTTCTGTGTCTGTCTGATTCTCCTTCAAACAGCAATTATGTGGAAACACCAAGAGATAAAGAAGTGGGTATGTTACCAAATGCTTTAATAGATAACAAAAGTGAAATTGGTTTTATTGTCAGGCATTGAGATTTTATAAAAAGTTGTAAAAATCTATGAAACTAAAATATTCTGTTACTTTGGATACAATTGCAATTGCAAATCCTCATTTAAAATATAAATTTAAAAAATAAATAAATAAATAAAATATAAATTTTGACTTTGTCAGTTAAACTACTTTCAATTATATAAAGAGAAAAATCACTTTTGAAGATGAAGTTAAAATTTAAAATGTATTAGAATATCAATTTATTGAGTATTTTGATATTTTTGAACTTTTGTTCTCTGAGTGTATTTTATTTGAGTTTTGTTAGACTTTTTTCCTATAGCTTTGGGAGTTTTTTCCCCCACATATTTTTTATAAAACTAATGAGTTTCTTCTGTTACATTATAGAAAAGAAAGATGATTTTGACTGGGGAAAATACTTGATGGAAGGTGAAGAAATTGCCCTTGGTCCGAATGTAGACACACCAGTAAGTAGCAATAGTTTAGCTATTGTAAATACAAATATATGCCAAGTGATATATTATTTTTATGGTTCCTTCCACCCTAGAGCAACTTAACTAAAACAGGAATACTCTTCATTAAATTAGAGTAGTTTATTATTAAAGATTTATTAAGATTTTGCACTGAATTAATAGTACTAGAAAGTTGAATGGAATGAATGTAAGTATCCCTTAAGGAGCTGTGACTCTAGGGGCGCCTGGGTGGCTCACTTGGTTGAGCGTCCGACTTCGGCTCAAGTCATTATCTCACAGTTCTTGGGTTTGAGCCCCACATCAGGCTCTGTGCTGACTGCTTGCTCAGAGCCTGGAGCCTGCTTCAGATTCTGTGTCTCCTTCTCTCTCTGCCTCTCCCCCGCTGACACTTTGTCTCACTCTGTTTCTCAAAAATAAATAAATGTAATAAAAAAAAGAAGCTGTGACTCTTGGGGGCTTCGCCACCAAAAATAATTCCATGCTATAATAGTAACTTTCAAGACATTTAGAAAAAAGTGTCATTTGGTTTAGTTTTGCTTTTCTTCTGAAATTTTCTTAATCTTATCATCTAGACAGCTCTAGTCACTACACACTCTAAGGGTAGGTGTATTTCCCTTTTTAATCAGAACTGGTCTGAAGAAAGTGAAGACGAAGATGATCAACAGCCCTTAAGTAGAGAAGACTCTGGGATTCAAGTGGACAGGACACCATTAGAAGAACAAGATCAAAACAGAAAATTGGGGCCTCGTGTCAGCTGGAAAGGTACCATGTGTTCTCAGATGCTGGCATCATTTTCTCATACAAGAATTCTCTGGAAGGACAGGCAATCTTTGGGGATCAGTTCTGTGTGATTTAAGATATTGGTAAGCTCTGCCGTCCTCATAAATGTTTTTAAACCATTAGTAGATCTTTCTTCTATAGTGTCTAAGAAGTGGCACTACAAAATTAATGTTGAAAAGGGATTTAGAGTGAAATTCTGTTCCATTTTTATTGTTCTGAGAACTTAGATAGTCCTAAATGTTTGTTTTTTTATTAGAGAAGGGTTGACTTTGCTAGTTAGTAACTAAATAAAAGGAGAAAAGATCTATACAATTTAATTTTAAATTGGAATGTCTGCTTTTTGAGTTTTAGTGAGGAACTATGAATTGGTAGAATCTAGAAAGAAGTGGAAGCAACCTCAGAGTTGTATTACTTCTCTAGTTGTATTACTTCTTCTCATTACTTCTCATTTTGTAGGTAAGGAAAACAAAGTCCTGGTTACATTGTTTTTTTTGTGGTCATGTAACTGTGAAACTAACCCCTTCACTAACCATGAAGCTTGGGATATGTAACCAGACTCTGTTCACTGTACTTGAACCTTGCCACATGGACAAAGAAGTTAAAGCTGATTTGGCATCCTAATGATTTTCTGGCTTAATTTTTCTTTTTAACTTGTGTATTAGACCTTTATCAGAGCATATCATCATCCCTAGTCCATGGAGGAACTATCATCTCTTCTGCTATTTCTGATTCTCACTTCCCTTTCCCTTTTTCTGCTAGCCAAGTTGTAGGCACTGTTCTAATGTATTTGATACCTGTGTTATCACATATGTTGGGTTCCTATAAAACATATTCTGTTGATTGGTATATTGTTTTGAAATTATGTACTGGTATTATCCCATGTGCAAAGCTTTGTTCTATTCCTCTTTTCATTTATCTCTAATTTAAATCTGTCCATGTCACTCTTGAACCTCTCTTCTGTCGCTCCTAACTGCTCCATAGATTTCTGCAGTTTGCAATACCACATTTCTATTATCACTTCCCTGTGGACTGTCTTGAGCTGCCTTTGCCCCCTCTACCTAGTGCCATGTGCATTATGGACCTGGCCCCCACAATCTCCTCCCTGCTTGATAAGATCCACCTCTCTGGTTTGGGGTACTTTTGTTTCCATTTGCATTTGACTGCTTGGGATAAGTACTTGTGGCTCCTCAGCTCCTTCAGTTTTTTTTTTGCTTGTTTGTTTTATCCATGTTAGTTAACATATACTGTAGTAATAATTTCAGGAGTAGAATTTAGTGTTCCATCAATTACATACAACAGCCAGTGTGCATCTCAAGTGCCCTCCCTAATGTGCATTACCCATTTAGCCCATCCCCCCCCCACCTGCTGCCCCTGCAGCAACCTTCAGTGTGTCCTTTGTATTTTAAGAGTGTCTTATGCTTTGTCTCCCTCTGTTTTTATCTTATTTTTGCTTAGCATAATACACTCTGGTTCCATCCATGTTGTTGCA